TAATTATATAATAGGCCTAGTTAGCCTATAGGCTATTATATATAGGTATTATAATAATAGCTCTAGTTAATATTAATAATTATAGTTAATAATTAAGTTAAATAATATACTTTAGAAATATAATAACGTGGTTGATAAGCATGCGCCGCATCCAAGCATGTGCCGCACTTTTATTTTTACCTTAAACCTGGATTTTTAAAAGTTTATTAAAACTTTAAACTAAGCCTAAAATAGCTATAATCTTAATAGCTTATATATATATCTATTAAATTAAGCTATAATAATTTCTTTAGATTTTTAAAAAAATTCTATTTAGCTAGTATATAAAAAATCTATTTACACTGTATATATAGCATTTTCTTTATAAAAGAATTTTTTTAAAAATCTAAAAAAATTATATTATATAGTTTATTATATACTATTTTAAAAAATAATTTTATTAGATTTTTAGCTATTTTATTTATAATAAAAAAATACTATAGGGTAGGGTTTTTAATACTATACAGTGCAGTGCGGCGCATACTTGTTTGCGGCCCATGCTTATCAAACACGTTATATTAAGATTATTTATAATAATTTTTAATAAAACTATAAAAAAGTCTTTATATTAAAAGAAACCTTTAAAGAATAAAATGTTAAATTTAACAATTAAAGTTATTCAGTTAATATAAATAAAAGATAAGTTAATATTTAACTAAAAAACTAAAGTATTTTAAGTAAACAGAAAAGAAGGTTTTTAAGGATAAATAATAAAAAATAATCTCTTTTATATTAAGGAAAGACTTTATATATTATTAAAACCTTATTTATAGTTATATTATAATAATCCTTTAATAGACTATTTTAAAGTTAAAAGGACTTGAAAGCTAATTTAAAGAAAGCTTTATTAAAAAGGCCTAAAAGTTAATATAAAATAGTATATAATTATATATAATATTTACTAAAAAACTATATTAAAAAGATATTAACTTTATAGAAAGCTTAAAAGTCTATTAATTTCTTTTTATCTCTTTAAAGAAATCTTTATAGACTTTATTATAGAATTACTATTAACAATCTTTAAAGGCTAGTAAGTTAATCTAATCTTTATAATAGTTAATAAATTTATAAAATTTATATAATTTCTATCTATTTTTATAAACATTATTATATTTAAACTTATTAAGCTTTTTTATAAAAAGATAAAGCTATAATTTAGTATATTAAAAGGTATTATCTTAAATAGAAAATTAGTTTTTATAAATATACTTTAGTTAGAATTTTATTATTATTTTAAAGTTAAATAAAGACTATTTATAGTATTTTACTTTTAGATGAATAAATAAATGAAATAAATAAATTAAACCTTAAGTTATTACTTAAAGATTTTTATTAATAAGAATTAAAATACTTAATTAAAGCTTCTTTAAATTATATAATTTACTTATAATTTAGTAGTTAATATTACTCCTTAAACCGAGAAAGCGCTGTTGGAGCCTCCGTTTTGGGCGGAATGTGTCGCCGTTTTTGGAGGCTTCAGCAGTGCGGGGGAGGGAGCGACAAGAGGGGGAGGACATGTACTATATACCTGCGCAGCCCCTGGCGCACAGATCCCCTGCACATGCCAGGGCCGCTGCGGAAAAGACACGCATCCCCATTTTGGTTCCCCCTCCATCAGCGACAGGGCGTCTGATTTCAGCATCCTTTGTGCTCTTCGTGTCTCCTGCTGCTTACATGCTGACCATGTTGAGTCTATTACTTGCCGCCCGGGTCGGCCCTCGCGAGCATGCTATGAACCTCTTGGACTATAAATAGCGATATGGACCACCTTTGGATCCCTCATCGATCTGCTCTCCCTCTTGTTCACTTTCTTCACTGGTCCTTGCGCTCATTCCATTTCTCGCGGCTGTTGTTGATCACCAGCCTGCTTACCTCCCGATGACCACCAGCGCGACTACGGCCAGAAATGGTCTGCACCAAAATCATGCATCTTTCCTCGAGCGCTTCAATGCCCGACAAGC